TTAGTATGAAAAATGAGGATGGACGAAGATAGTGTTTTCCGAGGGCGAAAGTGGCCAGAATACTTGCTCATACTTGCTCAACAAAAGTCTATCCACCTGGCTGGTTGTACGGCATAGGGCACCATGCTGGGCAGGGAGCCCCAGTTTAAAATCTCTGGCAGCTTTTTCCAACCCCAATAGCAATGGCCTCAAGCCTAATAGCGATGGCCTCCAACCTAAGAGCAGCACAATGCCTCAGGTGGTCACCAGGTACCAGTTATATAGTTTGGAGCTCTCAAGAATATTATTCTGCACACGCATTCTTTTACGAAATTTTTGCGCGGTCCGTCCGTGGTGCTTAGGAGTCTTGGGCTCCTTTGGAATGGGCTTTATGTCCAAGGTGCAGAACTGAGAAAAGACTATATAAAGAATAACTCAGACAGTATGATATTGAAGGTCCAGCCCAAAGAATTGCCAGACACTCCAAACATTGAAAATTGAAGATCTTGCTAATTTGCAATTCTTGGTATTTGCTCAATACAAATGTTTGTTTGCTGTTGGAAACGGATCACGACCCTTCAGTTTTTGTTCCACACTTGCTTCAATTTCCATAGCTATATTTTCAGTCCCCATCCTGACCTTCAAGCACAGCACGAATGCATGTAACATCACCAGCATTGCAATCAAAAGTGTTGATTCATACCTCGTCAAGTACCTTTAAAGCATACAACCCTTGGATTTTGACACAGCCCTGTAGTGTCACGAGATTGAGTCAGATCGAGTTCTTGAAGCCTCGTAGTGCGTAGAGCCTTCGATCATGAGATTATGGCGCAGAGCTTTGGCATCAGCCCGCACTACTTTCAGATCGCAGCACCACTGGGAGAGTGTGGATTGATGAGGGTTGTTGATGAGTGATTGAACCTCCGCTTCCTCCTATGGTCTTGGGTCTTGAGCCTGCTTTCAATGGTAGGAGGAATGTGCAGTGGTTGGATTCAATGCGAATATATTTTCTTTCATGATCCCTCAAAGAGATGCAATGCAATGAGAAGATGACGGATTGTCCTGTGCACTGCTTGACATCCCCAATGGTGTGGCACAAGCAGCATGTCATGCTGTACCTGTCTCCAGAAATCAACATTCAACATCTCCATAGTCGTGGGGTGTCGTTGGTAACCGTTAGGTCGTTTGCGGAGCGAAGGCACCATTGCCTGGCTGTTGGTTTATTCGCTGGAACTTCACTGGCAGTTTGCGAGGCCCACAAGTCTCGCAAGCTAGGTCATGAATTGTTGCCAAGACAAAAAGGCGGTAATGTGTGTAACAATGTTGAATAGGCTGCTTCAGTATAAGAGTAACAAAAGGGGCGGGTGGGCTTTGTTCTTCCCTTTGGAAAATCTCAAAGTTGCACAACAGGTGGAGGCCATCGCTCTTAGGTTGGAGGCCATCGCTACTAGGGTGGAGGCCATCGCTACTAGGTTCCTTAAAGGGCCATCGCTACTAGGGTGGAGGCCATCGCTACTAGGTTCCTTAAAGTTTTTGTTTTAACGTTTTTTTCCAACAGTGGCAGAGGGGGAGGCCATCGCTCTTAGGTTGGAGGCCATCGCTACTAGGGTGGAGGCCATCGCTACTAGGGT